AGATTTGACTGCCACTCCATCCAGTTCTGAAGCCTTCTATGGCTCCCCAGTGCTCCTGAGGCAGAAGGCCCTGCAGTCGTGCTCAGCCTCATCTCTCCTGACTTCACACTCCAGCCCAGGCGTTCCCTTCAGTTCCTTGGGCAGGGCAGGCTGTGGCTCTGAGCTCCTGCCTCTGCGGTGCCCTGGACCACCCTTGCCCGCCCCTGTCTTCCTACAAGTTGCCCTGCTCTGCGGTCCTCTCCCGGTACGAACTTGCCGCTGAGAGCCTGCCCTGTCCAAGATCTCTCTGTCTCTCGTGAAAGAGGCTGGCCCACTTGGGCCTTTGCTCTCACGGTCTCCCTTTCTGGTTCACGTGTCAGACCCCCTCTGGACTCATCCTGTTCTAGAAGCCCTCCCTGAACAGCCCCCACCACAGCAAGGGAGAGGCAGCTGGGCAGGGGTTCCAGCCCTCACCTGAGCACGTGGCTGACCCAGAGCACATGGTGTTCCCCGGGGCTCTTCCCACTCCCAGCCACGGTGGCCACGGACTGCAGCCACACAAAGCCACCTGCGCGCTGCAGCCAGCGGTAGTAACCAGTCATCACCTGGCCCTTGTCCAGCACTGGGCCCAGCCCAGGGAGAGGCCGAGCGGTCAGAGAGACACAGAGACAGGAAATGGGTGTGAGATAGGGAGACACGGTAGGGAGAGGAGACAAGCCAGGGTCAGACCGCAAGGAGCCCAGCAGTGAGGCTAGGGGGAGCCCCAGCCCAACTGGACAGCACCCTGAGCCACTGCTCAGTGCCCCCTGACACTCTCTGCGCCGACCTGAGCCCCGGGAGCTGCAAGTGCAGCAGAGGGCTGGTGGAAGCGCTGAAGGACTTCCAAGGAGCAGGGCAGCGGGGCACCGAGGCGTGGGGAGGCGGGCACAGGCAGGGGTGGTGAGTGGAGGTGTGTCTCACGGTCCAGGTGGCTTTGGCGGATGCTGGTGGCGTCCTGTGCATGGACAAACTGGTAGCAGCTGCGACCCACCAGCTCTGAGGGGCCCAGGTCCATGTGCTCACTGACTCTGAGGGTGACAGAGAGAGGGGGAGTCTGAGCCTTCGGGCTGAGGGGAGAGGCAGTTAGCTCTAGAATCGTGGGATGCAGACCTCGCTCTGCAGCGCTCTGGGCCAGTTTTCCTCTCTGTGACATGGGCACACCCCTCCTCGGGTGGCCATGGGGGCGCCAGGAGACGGCGCCCCTAAGTGAAGGCCCCGGGAGGACTGGGAGACGCTCCGCGCGCGGGACTGCCTCACACTTACGCTTCCCCAGTGCGCGGTGCAGGACTGCACAGGAAGGCCCCGCCTCCATCCCAAAGGCCCTGCCCACTCCCGGCTTTCCTCCTCTTCTTTCGTCCCTCTCTCCAGCCTCTGCTTCTCCGGCTCCCAGTGCGCCCACCCTGACCCAATGCGCCCTCTGTCTCCCACATACCCCAGGTCTGCCGTGTCCCCTACCCCCCCGCCTCAGCCCCCAACCCCGGTACCTGCTCTCACAGGCAAGGATGGTGAGACCCAGGCTGAGACGGAAGACGATCATGTGTCCGTGCAGAGGCAGCTCAGCCAGTGGGGCGGGGGGCAACGTGTGGCCCAGGGCCACAAGGCCCAGGGCGCGGGCCCGCAGGCGCCCGGTCACGTGGATGACCTGCGGGCGGTGGGCGTGGCTGGGTGGGCGTGCTTGGAGGCGGGGGACGGGGCATGGGGCAGTAAATGACCCCAGTTCCCAGACCTGGCTGTCTAACCGGAAGCCTCCCCAGTGAGGACTCAGGGTCAGAAGCCCAGCCAGCCGCTCACACGCACCTTGTACCCCGAAGCCTTGACGTGCAGCCCCCTCTTGGTGAGGGTGGACTTCATGCGGATGAAGAAGGAGCGCTCCTGGACGCGAGAGGGGGGCGCCGCAGTGGGGCTGGCCTCTGGGGCGCAGAGGGAAGGAAGGTTGTGAGTATGAAGAGGGAATCATAGGCCACCCCTGCAGAGCCAGCTAGATGTGGGATCCCAACGGGGTGGGGGCTACACTCACTCGGACACACCGGATGATTCTGCAAGCTCCCTGAGAACACACACTAACCACCCCTCCCGCCGCAACCAGCCAGGTCTTCCCAAAGCTCATACCTGACCCTGTCCCTCCCCTGCTCTGGCATCTCCTCTTCCAGGAAGCCCTCCCTGTCTCCCGCACTAGGTCGACTGTGCCCTCTGGGCTCCTCCCTCGGCTGTGCCAGCCTGGGTCGTCCTATAAGGACTGTGAGCCCCAGGAGAGTGGTGCTGGGGCTGTCATGGCTCCTACTGTGTCCCCAGCACAGGGCTTGGCACAGAGCAGAAACTCAGGGAATAGAACAAACAAGGCTCACGAGTCCAGATTATTCTCTACCCCACAGTGCCAGACCAACACAGGCGCCCCCACGGCCCCATGCGTGTCTGCAGACGTCTCCCCAAGCTTGCAGTACGGCTGACGTCCCAGATGTTTTGGTGTGAAGCAAATCCAACCAGGAAAATCCTACTTAGGAGACGGCCTCACACCCAGACACCTCAGACTAAAAGGAGCTTTCAGGGTAATCTCTAACACCCTCCCTTCCCAGCAGAGGAGTGGAAATTTCCACTGGCGAGCAGGGTTAGGGACCCTGACCCTGGAGCCTAACAAGCCTGGGCTGGAGCCAACTGGGTCCCTTGCAGCTGTGTGACCTGGGGCAATTAACCTCAGTTTTCTGCGGTTTGCTGGGGTCGTGGTTCCAGCCCGCGGATCAGCATCGCGTCAATGCCCAAGCCTGCTTTGTTACTTCCCAAAGCCACTTCTTCCTCCATTCAGCCCCTGGAGGGGGGCTTTCTAAAGCTCAAGTCTCAGGGAGCCACGTCCCACTGCCTCAGCATAGACTCCAGTTCGTTTGCAAAGACTGGCTTCGCTCAGCTCTTAACGAGAGGGGTTTGTGCAGACGAGGCCCAGGGAGGTGCTGTCCACCCGGCAGCCCTGATCTGCCCTCCAGCCTCACTCTTTGAGGGCACTTAGCATTACCGGCTTCAGGAGTATCCGCAAGCGAGGAGGAAGAGGAAGAAGAGGAGGAGGAGACGGAGGGTGGGGTGGGGGGCCCGTGGGTGCGGGCCCGCAGCCCCAGTTGCTCCAGCACCTCGGAATGGTCCCCAGGATGGATGTAGTCGAAGACGCTGCTGCCCGTCAGCTCCACCTGCCGGCGACGGAGGGGAGTACAGGGGAGCGTAAGGTGCGCGCCGGGACGCAGGTGCGCGTCATGCCAGCCTTGTTTTTAGTGGGAAAAAAAATGTTTTAAGAGGAGGATACAGACTTGGGCTCTCCTCATGCCTTCCTGCTTATACCCAATGATTATTAAGCATTCTCCGCCCTTGCCTACTCCATTAAGAAGGGGGACGCAACCTGGTGGCTAAAGTGGCTGGGTCCCACGTGCCAACTCTGCTTCCAGTCGCGACCCACAGTTTGAGAAACACGCAGGCCATGTGCGCCTGTGGCCAGAATCCCAAAGGAGGGAGAAATGAAGAAGGGATTACGTGTCGCCACCCTCCACGGGTGGGGGTGGAGGGGTAGGGAGCCTTTCACTTTGTCTCTATCTCTCTCTTGTGAGAGAGCACTTGTGTCCTCTAGCAGTTTTTAAAAGGGGGGAGCTAGGAGGCAGCAGGTGGTGTGGTGGTTAAGGCACGGGGCAGTTCGTGTCCCAGATCTGGTGGCTTGCTTTCTCACTTCCTATCTCTGTCTCTCTGGTGAGTGCACTGACCTAGAGCAAATTTTTAAATAATAATGAGGCCAGCAGGTGATGCAGCCGTTACATTGCTGGACTCCCACGTGGCCACCTGCGATTGGAGACCTGGAGGCTTGGCTTGCTTTCTCACTTTCTCTCTCTGGTCAAATTAAATAATAATAATGATAAATAAAATAAAATAAAATAAAACAATATTTTAAAAAATTAAAGGTGCCAGCAGGGGGCACGGTGGTTAAAGGTGCTAGACTCCCACACGGCCAACCTTGGTTCAAGTCCTGGACCTGGTGGCTTCCTTTTTCACTTTCCCTCTCTCTCTGGTCAAATTGGGAAATAATTAATAAAGTTAAAATAAAATAATTATTTAAAAATATTAAAATGATAGTAATAATAAAGTTAAATAATTCTCTTTTTTTAGAGGTTTTTGCTATAAGGCTTGTGCACTCACCAGGAAGACAGAGAGACAGAGAGACAGAAAGTGAGAAATCACTCACCAGGGGGATGGCCACGCCTCAATCCCTTCTCCATTCTCTCAGGATCTTGGGCACGCATGTACACGCACCCAAAGTGAGTTTAAGCCACTGGGTCCAGGACTTGAACCATGGTCAACTCCATGGAAGTTCAGAGACATAGCCATTATGCTAACTGCTGGTCCCATCAGTTAAATAATTCTTTTACAAGAAATGATACAGTTGCTAATTGTGTGGAGTGACTGGCGAGGCCTATGGGGCTGCATGGCAGGGCTCTGGGCTGCTCCCCGGCGCAGTGGCAACACTCTGCCCAAGAGAAGCCACACCCCACGTAGCCACTGAGGTTTGAACCCCCGGCCTGGTCAGCATGATACATGCCGAGCATGTGTGTGAGAGCTCAAGATCGGAAGGAATGGGCCTGGCAGGTGGCGTGGTGGTTAAGGGAGCTGGACTCCCAAATTGGCTGACTATGGTTTGAGTCCCGGACCTGGACGTTTGCTTTCTCACTTTCCTTCCTTCTCTCTCTCTCTCTCTCTCTGGTCAACTTCCCAAACATAAAATAAAATAATGACAATGCGGGAGTGTGGTGGTTAAGGTGCTGGACTCCTACATGGCTGACCACAGTTCACATCCCAGACCTGGTGGCTTATACTCTCACTTTCCCTTTCTTTCTGGTCAAATTTCAAAAATATTAATAATAAATAAAATATAAAAAAAATTTAAATGACAATGAAAAAAATTAAATAAAATAATTTTTAAAAGTCCAAGCTGCAGAACTGCAGGTGTAGGGGCACAGTGTGAGCAGACCAGTGGGGCGCGTCGCTCTCTCGCATGCACTCCGCCACTGAGAAACGAACCCAGGCTCTCAGGGCGGGTGTGGGCCTCTGCCTGTCCTCCTGTCACTTCTCAGCCTCCAGCTGCAGGAGCTGGGGCAGAGACAGCAGGCTGAAATAAAGACGAAAATGCAAGCCAGCTGGGGCCAGCAGGTGGTGCTGGACTCTTACATGGTGATTGTGGTTCAAGTCCTGGGCCCAGCAGCTTGAAACTCAGGCCAGGGACGTGTGCATGCATATCCAAAATCCTGAGAGGAGAATGGAGGGGAAGGGATTACGGGGTGGCCATCCCCCTCAGGAGGTGATTTCTTGCTTTCTGTCTCTGTTTTTCTAGCAAGTGCACACGCCCTATAGCAAAAATTTCTATAAAAAACAATGCAAGCCAGCTAACTGAAATGCCACAGAAAACCTCCCAGAGCTGGCAGACCTCAAACCCTTTCAAGAAACAAGTCTTGGCATAAACTAGACATCACAATTTTTTAAAATTGTCACAAAGACAGATCTTGGCAAACACATGTACCTGGCCAATGAGTCATAATACAAACTGATTTTTTAAAAACAATTTTTATTTAACTTTATTTATTTGACCAGAGGGGGACAGAGAGAGAGAAAGAGAGAGAGAGGGAAAGTGAGAAAGCAAGCTGCCAGGTCTGGGACTCAAACCATAGTAGGCCATGTGGGAGTCCAGCCCCCTTAACCACCACACCACCTGCCGGCCCCCACAAACCGATCTTTTAATTTGCTTTCCTTAAACTGAACTGTTACTTAATAACACAACTCCCCCCATGGGATAAGCCATGTGGGGTTCCTAGGAATACACTTTGGGAAGCACAGATCCACCCCATTTTTCTTTCTTTAACATATTTTTTAAATGATTTATTTATCATTATTATCTTTTACTTTGCTACAGGGCGCGTGCACTCACCAGACACAGAGAGAAAGAGAGCAAGCCAACAGGTCGGGGATTTGAACTGCAGTCCACCAGGTGGGAGTCCAGCGCCTCAACCACCACACCACCTGCTGGCCCCTCTAGTCCGATTTTCATGCAGGGATGGTGAAGTCAGGAGACAGAAAGGCCATACGTGGGCTCTGCAAGGGAGACGGGGGCGGAGCCAGTCCAAGTGGCCCAGGGGACCCCTTACCTGTGAGAGCCCCAGGTAGATGGAGACGGTCTCGGAGATGTAGAGGAATTTCCCCTCCTGGTTCAAGGCGAACACGAAGCCGTCCAGGGACTACAGTCAGGAGAGACCGGGAGAGGAAGGGGGGACCTGGCGTCCCTCTGTCCGGCCGGGAAGTGGTGAGAGGTCCTGAAATCGGGGTCTCCCCTGCAATGGGCTGCTCTGGTGGGGAGGGGACCTCAGTGGCCCTCGGAAGCGGCAGGCAGGAGAGGGAGACCCAGCGCTCCGCCTCGTTGCCGGGAGCTTCGCGGGAATGGATGCCAAAAAAGCGGCTGTTTCCGGAGCTGGCCACCAGGTGGCAGCACGGAGCAGCGGGCAGGAGAAGGGGCCTCACCTGCAAGATGTGTCCTCCCAGGTGTTGCTCGAAGACCTCGGAGACCAGTGCGGTGGGGCCCCGGCGGCCTGGCGCTGGGGGCAGAGCGAGACCCGAGGCCAGGGTTGGTCTGGCTGGGCAGGCCCCTAGAAAGCCAGTCTACAAATCTGTCTGTTCCCCAGCTTGTGGCCATCTTAGGAAAGGCTCGAGGTACAGGGAGGGGCAGATGTGGGTGGGACAGTGGGACAGTGACTAAGACACACAGAGACCAGGGACTGCATGGAGGGGTTCATTCCCTCATCCATTCATCCCGCAGCAAAAGCTACCTTTGGGGGGACCGGGGGGTGCCCCCCGGGCTGGACCGCGGGAAGTTCCTGAGGTCTCCCTGAATAAAGCAGGGGCACGCACGTGTGTCTGCGACCTGGGGTGGCTGAGGCCACCCCTCTCTCTTTTGCTCATGGAAGGAGATACATAAAATAATAAATGCTAAAAGAAAATAATAGAATCTCTCTGAATATCTACTGTTCACGCACCCTGTTCCGGGTGGTGCTGGGGACACAGAGGTGGCCCGGCCAGCCTACTTGCCCCCACTGGGCTTCCAGGCCAGGGGAAGACTGGCAACTAAGGACGCAGAGGTATCATTGGTGGTGGGAGGGGGGCGGAGTCCGGTCGGTTGGCGGGGCCCGGTCGGTGGGCGGGGCCAGCGGAAGCGCTGGGTGCCACGTGGCCATGGCCATCTTTAGTCTCAAGTCCCAGACCTGGTGGCCTGAAAACATGCCAGGCGCGTGCACTACATGCCCCAAATTCCAAGAGGAGAACGGAGGAGAAGGGGTTGCAGCATGGCTTTCCCCCCCAGAGCGGTACCCCCCACCCCGTGTCTCTCTCCAGTGAGTGCACGTGCTCTACAGCAAAAAACCACAACATGAAACAAAAACGGTGAAGTGAGAAGAATAACGGGGTGTTGAAGAGTGGGACAGCTGAATTCCGACCTGAAGAATGAGCGACAGACCCAGAAATGAGAGAGCACGGAGACAGAGAAGGCAGGGGTGTGTAAAGGACAGGAGGATGGGGCCAGCAGGTGGTGTGGTGGTTAAAGGCGCTGGATCCGTACATGGCAGGCTGCAGTTCGAGTCCTGGACCTGGCGACTTGCTTTTTTGCTTTCCCTTTCTCTCTCTGTCTCTAGCTGGTCAAATTAAAAAATAGTAATAACAAATAGAATTAAATAAATTAAGGAGCCGACAGGTGGTGTGGTGGTTAAGGGTGCTGGACTCCCACATGGCTGACCATGGTTCAAGTCCTGGACCTGGCAGTTTGATTTCTCACTCTCTCTTTCTCTCACTCAGTCCCTCTCTGATCAAATTAAAATAAATAAATAAAGTTAAATAAAATAATTCTTTAAAAAATAATTAATAATTCTTTTTGTTTTTTTTGAGACGTTTTTGCTATAGAGCACATGCGCTTGCCAGAAAGAGACAGACAGAAAACGAGAAATCACCCCCCCAGGGGGGATGGCCATGCTGCAATCCCTTCTCCTCTCCTCCATTCTCCTCTGGGGATCTTGGGTATGCATACACACGCCCACAGCGTGAGTTTAAGCTGCCGGGTCTGGGACTTGAACCATGGTCGACTACATGGGAGTCCAGCGACATAGCCATTATGCTGACTGCTGGTCCCATAAATAAATAAATAATTCTTTTAAAAAATAAAAAATACAAAAAAGAGAGGAGGCTGGGCATCACAGTGCAACCGGGAAATTAACGGGCCAGAGCCAGACAGGGACGCGGCGGTGCCACAGCGACTCCCACGGGAATCTCCATGCCTGTCTGGGTCCCTGCTTGGGCCAAGTGCCCGCGTGCCCATGACCAGGCTGGCTGAGGCTGCAGGTGGGGCGCAGCCTAAGGATCTGGCTGGGGCTGCCCATCACTCCCCCTTGCTCGTGGAAGAAATAAACTAAAACAAAAATAATTATTCTTTAAAAAGACAGGCAAGAGACTGGCAGATGGTGTAATGGTTACGTCACTGGACTCCCACATAGTGACTATGGTTCGAGGCCCGGACCCGGTGGCTTAAACTCACGCTGGGCGTGTGTTCATGCGTGCCCAAGATCCTGAGAGGAGAATGGAGGAGAAGGGATTGCGGCATGGCCATCCCCCCCGGGGGTGATTTCTCGCTTACTCTTTGTCTCTCTGGCGAAGGCGCATGCCCTATAGCAAAAATCTCTCTTAAAAAATAAACAAAAGATAGGGGCCGGCAGGTGGCGTGGTGGCTAAGGGTGCTGAATTCCCACATGGCTGACGGTGGTTCCAGTCCCGGACCTGGTGCCTTGCTCTCACCCTCTCCCTTTCTGTCTCTCTCTGTTCAAATTAAAAAATACTAATAATAAACAAATGGAATCAAATACATAAATAAAGATAGGGAACTCGATTCGAAAACAGGCAGATGACTTGAACGGCTACTTCTCTGAAGGAGACAGACAGATGGCCAAGAAACACACAGCGACGCTCCGTGCCGTGAGCCATCAGGGAAGCCCAGCCGAGCCACAGTGAGGCGCCACCTCGCGCAGCGGGAGCGGCTGGGATCGGAGCAGCAGAAGTGTGGGTGCCCATGGGGAGAAATCGCCACCCTCGGACACCCCCGGTGGGAGTGTGAAGTGGTGCGGTGCAGCCCCCGGGGGGGAGTGCGCCGGGCCTCGCCCGCAGACCGCATTGCCCCCTCCAGGGGTGTCCCGAGAGGAGTCGGAAACGTGCGGTGACAAGGGCTCGCACACGTGTGCTCGCAGCGCTCATCCCGAGGTCGGGAAGAGGGAACAGCCCGGATGCCCATGACGGACTGAGTGGACACGGAGTGACAGGATGCGGTCTGTCCACACTGGAGAATGAGGCGCTGCTCCTGCACTCCTGCACGGATGAGCCCTAGGGACAGACCTGCGGGGGGTGGCCTTGTTTGGAGGGTGAGGAGGCTGTTTGGGAACTAGGTGGCGGTGGCGTCTGTGCAGCGTTGGGACAGCGAAGGCCTCTGACTTAGGGATGTAAAACGGCGAGTTCTACCTTACGTACATTTTAGCTTGATAACAATGTATAGAAACAGAGATAGGAATAGAGAGAGACAGAGAGAGACACGGACAGAGAGAGACAGGGAGGGAGAGGGGAGACGGCGAGTGAACTAGGCAGAGAAACACAGGCCCTGCCCCAGTCTCCCCCTCAGGACCCAGGTGACCTGAGCCCAGGAAGGATGATGCCCCAGGGGAGGGGCAGGGCTTTGGGGAGGCAGGGGAAGGACATGTGGGTCCCCAAGTCCTGCCCCGTGTGGGAGTCGAGCCCCAGCGCGATCCCCGGACCACTGCCTTCACCTCTCTGCCTCGGTTTCCCCTCTATCAGATGGGCTTGCTGAGAGCCCGACGCCCCAGGCTCCCCCACTGCCGCTGTCCGAGCAGAGTCGGGGTTCTCACCCACGTGACGGTCCCCACGCAGGGTGTGAGGCCACCGCAGGCCCAGAGCGCCTGGCCAGGCCTCTTCCTCCCGGGGCACCCCTACATCCTCCAGCAGTTCCTCCCGCCTACGCCCTGCCTGGAGCTCCAGGAACAATAACTGGGGGGAGGGGGTGATGGGGACCCCTTCTCTGAGATGCAGCTCAAGCCAGCCGGTGACAGGCAGGAACAATGGCGGCTGCTAATTGTGGCAATTTTCCCCTGTCATTTTGCTAATTCCTTCATTTTCCCTCTCGCAGGCTCACAGGGTCAGGCTGCTGCAATTAACGCGTTAATGGGCGCTCGGATGGGGGTGAGAGCTGGGGGAGGGCTCCGGGACCCCGGAGTCTGTCTCAGCACTGACGTGTCTTATCCCTCCTGCTTCCACCTCCCCAGTCCCATGGATCCGGACTCCTCCTGGCACGTCCCCTCCTCCAGATGCCCCACTCCCGGGTCTCACAGGACTCTGCCATGCCCGGCCTCCTCCCCACCCCAAGTGTCGCTCATTCACTTAACACACACTCGCAGTCCCCTCCTGCACAGAGGGACCCCGACAGGAGGGCAGACGCAGGGAGAGCCAAGGCCTCTGCCAGGACTCTAGGATCCCCTTCTCCTCCCCTCCCATCCCAGCTGCCCCAGGGACCTGCCACTAGGGTGCTGGAGCCTGACCCGGGGCTTCTCTGGGGAGGGGGAGCCTGGGGAGCCCCCCACTCACCGCATGCTGCTCCCTGGGTCAGGCCTGGCGCTTGGGGGCATTTCTGCCTCAACTTTCCTGGGCCTCATCTGTAAACCGGGCCCAGCATGGCACAGAGGGGGGGTCTGTGCACACAAAGACCCTCTCAGCCATTCCAGGCCTGCAAGGACCCGGCACCTGTCCCTTCCAGCGGGCTGTGGGGACTCCCGGCCATCTCTGTCTCTTGCCCATGTGTGCTGTTAGCCAAGTCCCTGAGCTTCCACTCCCCCTCCCCGCCACAGCCCTGCTGGCAGCCCAGAGACTGCCCGCGCCTCACCCACGCCTTCCCATGGGGCTCTGACCCACGCGGGTAACAGACAAATGGTCACCCGACCGCAGTGAGCCCTGGTCCTCCCGGTACCGCCTCAGGCCTGGAGCCTGAGCCCGGCCTTTGCACTCGCTCTGCTCTGCCTGGAAAGTTCGGCTCCAAGTCACTCCTCAGGGAGCTGGGCGGTGTCTGACCTGTGGTCTGTGGTGCCCAACACTTTTTGTTTTTTAAAGAATTATTTATGGGGGGACCAGCAGTTAGTGTAATGGCTATGTCGCTGGACGCCCATGTAGTCGACCACAGTTTGTGTCCCAGACCCGGTGGCTTAAAACTTACGCCGGGTGCATGTGCGTGCATGCCCAAGATCCCGAGAGGAGAATGGAGGAGAAGGGATTGCGGCGTGGCCATCCCCCATGGGGGTGATTTCTCGCTTTCTGTCTCTCTGGGTGTGTCTTTCTGGCAAGCGCATGCACCCTATAGCAAAAACCTCTCAAAAAAAAAAAAAAGAAAAAGAAAAAGAAAAAGAAAAGACCAAAAAAGGGGGTCAGCAGATGACATAATGGTTTTGTAGCTGGATTCCCATGTAGATGACTGCGGTTCAAGTCCTAGACCAGGAGGCTTGAAACT